GGATCATGGCTCTAGTAACATCCACTTTCCAGCTGAGATGCGCTAAGTGGTGTGCTCTGCTCCCAGAAAAATCTCTCCCACAGCAGCCCCATCACCTACTTCAAAGAAAGAACTCGAGTGTTAGGGTGTCAGGAATCTTGCTGTCAGCTTAATGAATCTCACCTGGCTTACATTTTCCTTGTCTTGGGCACAGTGTGAGAGCTCAATGTTTCAGGTTCTGCCCCCTTCCTCTGAGACAGTCTAGTAAGCCAGGATGAGTGGGATAGGGAAGCTGAACAAAGTGGCTGAACAATTTCCAGCTAGATGCAGAAAGTCACTTCCTTAAGAGAAAATGTCTAGTCCCAGAAAAGCAACAAAACCAGGTGGGCAACACCAGGACCAGCTGCAATGACTAATGACTGTCTGCCGTCGCACTTACCAATCAGTAGAGAGAACAACCCTGAAAAAGCAATCCTGGAAAACTGACGAATATTTTGTGAAACCCTCCCCTGAGGCCTAAGATGCGGGACTGCAAGAAAGAAAGCCCTCAAGACAGCTGCAGCTCCTGTGGCTTATCAGTTGGTGGTGAGTCATCCTGTACAGCAGATTCTATTCCTGGTCCAGGTGCATATGGGAGGCAACCCATCGTTTCCCTGTCATACTGATGTTTCTCTGTCACACGTCCTTCCTCTGTCTAAAAAGCAATGAAAAAATGTCTCTGGCTGAGGATAAAAAAAAACACAAAACACCCAAAACCCCTCAAGATAAAGGGCCCAGGGGGTGCTCTTTCTCTGGGGAGTAGGCATGCACCATTCCCCTCCCCCTTTTTTTCTCCCACAAGACTTGCAGCAGCAGGTCATCCTGGACCAACACCCCACCTGGAAACTGTCTCCAAAGCCCCCCTTTCCCTGACTTCCCAATGAGCTAAGGCAACCAGCACAGGTTCTCCTGTTGCTTCTTTGATGCCAAACTCTTCCTTGTTTCCCTGTCCCCAGCTTTAATACCCTCATAGTACCTAGGCTCGTGCTGCGAATTTTTGCGGGGGACACAAAGTCAAGAACCCAAACACTACTGGCTGTGTCTGGGCAGCTCTGCTCAGGATCAGATCCCCTGTATGGTAACACCTCCAGGTAGTTCCTGGTGGCTGCTAAGAATTGCAAGCACTGTCACAATTACTATTAACATGATCAAGGGACTGCTCTGATAAGTACCTTTTTTAGGTTTCTGTAACATAGTTTTTCCTACTTTTTGTTGTGTGCTGAGCCACAAACTGATCATTTTGTTTGCTGGTCTCCTTTTCCCTTCAGTCTTGTGACTCTGAATTTTTGAACCATCTCTTTAAAAATTTAAAGATACAGCTTCCTCCACGCTGCCTATGGGGGTGGCAGCCATCTCTTACTCGGCACCATGGCAGCCCTCAGACCCCTCGTGAAACCCAAGATTGTCAAAAAGAGGACCAAGAAGTTCATTCGGCACCAGTCAGACCGTTATCTCAAAATTAAGCTGAACTGGCGGAAACCCAGAGGCATTGACAATAGGGTGCGCAGAAGATTCAAGGGCCAGATATTGATGCCCAACATTGGTTATGGAAGCAACAAGAAAACAAAGCACATGCTGCCCAGTGGTTTTCGAAAGTTCCTGGTCCATAACGTCAAGGAGCTTGAAGTGCTGCTGATGTGCAACAAATCTTACTGTTCTGAGATTGCTCACAACGTCTTCTCAAAGAACTGCAAAGCCATTGTGGAAAGAGCAGCCCAGCTGGCCATCAGAGTCACCAATCCCAATGCCAGGCTGTGCAGTGAAGAAAATGAATAGACAGATTGTGTGCACTTAAAATTCTGCCAAAAAAAAAAAATTAAAGATACGAACAGCCTTTTTCTTTCTTTCTTTTTTTTTAAAGATTTTATTTATTTATTTTTTTTTTTAGAGAGGGAAGGGAGGGAGAAAGAGAGAGAAACATCAATGTGTGGTTGTTGGGGGCCATGGCCTGCAACCCAGGCATGTGCCCTGACAGGGAATCAAACCTACGACACTTTGGTTCACAGCCCGCGCTCAATCCACTGGGCTACGGCAGCCAGGTTTTTCTTCCTTAAATGCAAACATAAAGGGAGAAAGCTCCTCCACCTCTGCAGCCCATGTGAGGGGAGGAGCCTAACTTCAGTGGTCAGCTGGCTACAACATCAAAAACCACATTCTCTCATAAGGATGTTTGCCTTTCCTCTGGATGAAGCCTAAGGTGAACAGGGTGAGCTCTGCCTGACAAATGCTGCTGTCAAGACTGGTTACTTGGGGACTAGTTGTTTATTTTTATTTTTTAAGTATATTTTATTGATTCTGCTGTCACAGTTTTCCCAATTTTTTCCCCCCTTATCCCTCCTCTGCCCTGAACCCCCCAACCCTCCGGCATTTCGCCCCCTTCATTCATGCCCATGGGTTGTACGTACAAGTTTTTTGGCTTCTCTGTTTCCTACACCATTCTCAACCTCTCCCCGTCTATTTTATGCCTACCCTGTTTATTTCTAATACACACCTGTACTGGGTTTTATCCGCTTAGCTATTTAGAGGGGTGAAGTTTGTCTTTGCTGTTTCTTACTGGATTGCCTGTGATGCACATCAAACCTGACTTAATAATTATTTAATAACAGTAAGTTGCTCTTCCTAGTCCCTTCATAGAGAGGATTTCTGGACTTGGAGTAGATATTGTTTGTATTTGCTCAACAATCACCACCACACAGCTGATAGCAGAGACTCTACCTCAAGCACCCATCTCAGCTGATAGGGGACAGGGTGTAACAGGACCCCACAGAGAGGTCAGGAAAACCTCCTTTCTAGGAACATCATTGACAAGGATGAGCCCTATGGGTATATTTTTTTCTGGAACCAAGAGGAGGGTAGCTCTGTTCTGTTTAAAGATAAACTGAGGTACATTAAAACTTTGATGGTTTTATTTGAGACAATTGTCCAATCAGGCAACACCAAACCAGACTCCCGGAAAGGCTTTTGTTGAGCAGAAGGAAAGTAAAGCAAGAAAATGATTGGACTGGCTACAATGTTAAGGAGTTGCCTCATTTCAAAAAGCCTAGTTGACTGTGATTGGTTGTTCTTAGCTTTCAATTTCTTACCATTGAGACATCTACAAGAATTTACTCTGAATTAGATTTTCAGTTTGCTCATGCAAGCTGCATAGCATTGGACACAGCATAAATTTTTTTTTGAAAAAGTTAAGATATATTTTACTAGTATGGAAAACAATCCATTAAGTAAAGAAGTCATTCATGTATTTAAAATTGAGTGCAATTCAAACATATATCTTTGTTGCTCATTGTCCTTGTTGTTAAGGAAAACAGCCCTGGCTGGTGTGGCTCAGTGGACTGAGCGATGGCCTGTGAACCAAGGGGTCGCCAGTTCAGTTCCCAGTCAGGGAACATGCCTGGGTTGCGGGCCAGGTCCCTGGTGGGGGGACATGGGTGAGAGGCAGCCATACATTGATATTTCACTCCCTCTCTTTCTCCCTCCCTTCCCTTCTGTCTAAAAATAAATAAATAAAATCTTAAAAAAAAAAAAAAAAGGAAAATGGCCCTGGCTGGTGTGGCTCAGTGGATTGAGCTCTGTCTGGCAAACCAAAAGTTCACCAATTTGATTCCAGGTCAGGGCACATGCCTGGGTTGCAGGCCAGGTCCTCAGCTGGGGGCATGTGAGAAGCAACTGATATTTCTCTACTGCTCTTTCTCCCTCCTTTCCCCTCTCTCTAAAGTTTAATAAAGTCTTAAAAAAGGAAAATGGTCAATGTTTGTAAAATAGGCAAAAGTTATCAACAGACATTTTCCCAGACATTACACATAGCAAATACATATTAAAATCTACTCATCAAGAAAGCTTAAGAAAATGCAATTAAAACAAAAATAAGATAGCACTACAAACTATTTTTAAAAGCTAAATTAAAAATAACAAAAAAAGTATTGATGACATTGTGGAACAATGGAACTCCCATAAAGATAAGAATGCAGCCCTGGCTGGCATAGCTCAGTGGATTGAACGCAGGCTGCGAACCAAAGTGTCACAGGTTTGATTCCCAGTCAGGGCACATGCCTGGGTTGCAGGCCACGGCCCCCAACTACTGCACATTGATCTTTCTCTCTCTCTCTCTCTCTCCCTGTCTCCCTTCCCTCTCTAAAAATAAATAAATAAAATCTTAAAAAAAAGATAGGAATGTAGACAAGTACAATCACGTTACATCACAATTTGTTAGTTTCTTCAAAAGTTAATACTCACCTACTTACCTGTGACTCAGACATTACACTATAAATTATTGACAAAAGATAAATAAAACATATTCACAGAAAGAATTGTACACATAGGTTTATACAAACTTCATTTATTATAATCAAAAAAATGGAAATACCCCAAATGTCCATAAAAGGATGAATGAATAAACCAATTGTCATATATCCAAAGATAGCAATAATATAAAGGAAACAAAAAAATAAGTAAACATTTAATGATTCCATCATATAAATTATAACAAATACAAAATTATCTATACTAAGGGAAAGTAAATCAAGTTATTTGAAGGGCTGTGATGTGTAGGGAAAGATTTAAAAAGGACAAGAGGCAAAAATACACTGGCAGGTTAAGTCATTCCCATAACTACAATGATGCTTTCAGTTTTATATGTACTTCAAACCATCAAATATGACACTTTAAATATGCACAGTTTATTACATGTATGTTTGTTTTCCTGCCTGTGCAACATGGCCTTGGGTAAGCGTCATTACAGGAATTCACAAAACATTTATTTTCTATAACAAAGACTTCAGGCACACCAGATAAAAACACCTGGCCCTGGCTGGTGTGGCTCAGTGGATTGAGCACCAGCCTGCAAACCTGAGTCACCAGTTTGATTCCCAGTCAGGGCACATTCCTGGATTGTGGCCAGGTTCCCCAGCTAGGGGCATGTGAGAGGCAACCTATTGATGTATCTTTCTCACATCAATGTTTCTCTCCCTCTTTCTCCCTTCCTTCCCCTGTCTAAAAATAAATAAAATCTTAAAAAAAAACATGCCTGGAGATCCTAAGATTTGTGTGCACACTGATCCTGCACAGTCATTGTTACAGAAATGCTTGTGTATTTAAGAAGCACATTCCATTGTGTTGGCTAAAGTCTCCAATCCCTACAAATCCAGTGCCATTTCTGTAGCAGTTACAGTTTCCAGTAACCCCAATGGTCTTATGGTTCATTGCAGGACCTAGGAAACAGGTTCCCTTCAACATACCCTGAGATTATCCCCTGTGAATCATGGGAAAATTCATGCTGCTCCAAGAAGTACTTGAGATGATCACATCTGAGATTATCACACCACAGGGTGATTTCTAAATCTCCTAAAATTCATAGCTTCTAGGCTTCATACAAAGACCAAAAAGCCATGCAGTCCTTCCTAGAAAGAATGTAAATTTGGCAAAAATTGGTGAGCTGTATTTTGCCATTATACCGTCCTTATGAAGAACACGAAATTGGGGATCCTCATTAAAACGTTCACCTTTCATACTTGTGGAGCCAAACTCTGTTTATGAAATATACCACTCACTAAATAGAACTCAGAAAATAAAAGAGAACTGACACAGCAAGGAATTAAACAGTATTGTACAAACCAGAGCAACGTGCAGCAAAGAGGTCAAGTTGGTAACTTGGAAACTAGAAAAATTCCTGGGAGAACATGGCCCTCCAGCCAGACTCATGTGATATTCTCTGAGCCAATAAAGGATTGGATTTTTGCCCAGTGTGACTCCAAAGACCTCAAGAAAACTCCTCTTTTCCTCCAATACACAAGAGAACACAAGTCAGCACAGCAGGATGGTAATGGACACAAACTGTGGGGACTTGCCACATGGTAGTCTGAAATGACTTTGAAAACAGAAAATGGCAAAGAGCCCTGGGCAGGTTAGAAAGTGCAACATAGACACACATGATTCCCACATAACTAAACTTATGGTGAATCTCCCAACTGTGGACAACTGGATATATGAGATCAAATTCAGACAGATGGCTTCTTATCGTTTATTCCAGTGTCATTATACGGACAAGAAAAGTGCACATTCCCTTGCACATCTAGGGTCTTTCTCCAGTGTAAATTCTACACTGTATAATAAGGTGAATTCTTTAAGGATTTTCTACATTTTGTGCACTTATAAGGCCTTTCTCCTAAATGAATTATCTGGTGGTGAAAGACTGTGAAACTATGGGTAAAGGAATTTTCACCTTTGCTACACCATAGGCCTTCATCCTGTGTAAATTATCAGAAAACAAACTCCAGATACAACATTTCCTACATTCCATACACTTATAAAATCATTTTGCAGTATGAAGTCTCGGGTGTTAAGAAAGGTAAAACTTATGGCTAAAAGATTTCCCACATTTTTTAACTCACGCACCTTTCTACAGTTTAGCACTGAACTGCCCAGTGTTAATTGGACTGGGAACTATCCTTAAAAGATTTCCCACATTTGCTGGATCATAAGGCCTTCATCTTGTGTGAACTCGTTGGTGTACAAGAAGGTGATGTCTCTGGATAAAGGATTTACCACACTCACTGCACACATAAGGCCTTTCACCTGTGTGAGTTCTTCGATGGCGAATGAGTGCTGAGCTCTTGGGAAAAGATTTCCCACATTCACTGCACCCATAAGGCCTTAACCCAGTGTGAATACTCTGATGATAACGGAGGCCAGAGCCAGAGGAAAAAGATTTCCCACATTCAGTACATTGGTAAGGCTTTTCTCCAGTGTGAACTCTCCAGTGTTCAATGAGGTAAGAATTTGCTCTAAAGGACTTCCCACATTCAGTGCATTCATAAGGCCTTTGGCTGGTATGAACTCTCTGATGATCACGGAGGGCATAACTAGAGGTAAAAGATTTTCCACATTCATGGCACTCATGAGGCCCTTCTCCACTGTGAACTCCCTGATGATAACGGAGTTTCCTCCTAGTGGTAAAAGAAATTCCACATACACTGCACTCATAAGGCCTTTCTCCTGTGTGAACTCTTAGGTGTATAAGAAAGTAGCATTTTTGGATAAAGGATTTTCCACATTCATTGCACTCATAAGGCTTTTCTCCAGTATGAACTCTCTGATGATTTCTCAGGTTAAAACCAGATGCAAAAGATTTTCCACATTCATTGCACGGATACGGCCTTTCTCCTGTATGAACTCTCTGGTGTGTAAGAAGGTGATGTCTTTGGATAAAGGATTTCCCACAGTCACTGCACTCATAAGGTCTTTCTCCAGTGTGAACTCTCTGATGATTACTAAGGTTGGAACCAGCTGAAAAAGATTTCCCACATTCGGTACACTGAAAAGGCATTTCTCCTGTATGAACTCTCTGGTGTAAAAGAAGGTGATGTCTTTGAATAAAAGATTTCTCACACTCACTGCACTCATAGGGTCTCTCTCCTGTGTGTACTCTCTGATGATTACTGAGGTTGGAAACAGATAAAAAAGACTTCCCACATTCACTGCACTGATAAGGCCTTTCTCCAGTGTGAACTTTCTTATGATAATGAAAAGCAGAGCTAGAGGTAAAACATTTCCCACATTCACTACACTGATAAGGCCTTTCACCTGTGTGAACTCTCTGATGTTGGATGAGGTTGGACCTTTGGCTATAAGATTTCCCACATTCACTGCACTTATAAGGCTTTCTTCCAGTGTGAACTCTCAGATGATAACGAAGGCCGGGGCGAGAAGTAAAACATTTCCCACATTGACTACACTCATAAGACCTGGATCCATTGTGAACACTCTCATGATAACGTAGGCCTGGACGAGACGTAAAAGATTTCCCACATTCACTGCATTCGTAAGACTTTCTTCCACTATGAACTATCTGGTGTTGAGTGAGGTACGACTCATGGCTAAAGGATTTCCAACATTCAGTGCACTCATAAGGCCTTTTTCCTGTGTGAACTCTTTGGTGTAGAATGAGTATTGAACAACTGGTAAAGGATTTCCCACACTTAATGCACTCAAAAGGCCTTTCTCCTGTATGTACTTTCTGGTGTAAAATAAGTACTGAACTATTGGTAAAACATTTCCCACATTCACTACACTGATAAGGCCTTGTGCTAGTGTGAACTCTCATATGTACAATGAGGTAAAATTTTCGTCTAAAGGCTTTTCCGCATTGCATACACTCATAACGCCTTTCTCCAGAGTGAACCATTCGTTGTCGAATAAAGATGGATCTACGGCTGAACAACTGCACACATTCACAGCACAGGTCACGTATTTTTTTAGTATGATTTCTCCAAGGATAAATAAGAACAAATTTTCGGTTAAAGGACTTCCCACATTTGCTGCATTTGTACTGTCTTGCCTGACAATAATTTCTTTGATGACGACTAAGGGTTGAGGTTAGCCTAAAAGACTGGCCACATTTGCCACATACATGAAGATTTTTACCGGTGTGAACTCTCTGGTGAACAACTAATGAGGACTGATTCCTAAATGCTTTCCCACATTCAGGGCACACAAAACACTGTCTTCCAGTGTGGATGTCCTGGTCCTGAGCATGTGTATGTCTAGGGCTGAAGACTTTCTTACATTCTGTCCAGGTCAGAAGAGTTTTTCTCTTTTCTCTAGTTTCCCCACACTGTGTGATTTTGTTGGGTTCTTCCCCGGTATGAGTCACTTGCTGCTGTAGATGTTCTGAGGTAGCCAGGATGTTCTTCCCAACTTCATCACAAATAAAGGGCTTTTCTGAAACAAGGAATTTATGGCTCTTCACAAACAAGGTCCTGTCCACACTGCTTCTTAAAGGTTTCGCTCCCAGGTGCTGCTCCTGGTGTGTTAGGAGGTTTGCACTACAATTAAATTGTTTCATACATACCCCACACCTCAACACTTTTTGGCTGTGTGGTGTTCCTTGGTGCTCAGCCAACTGGAATATGTCTCTCAAGACTGGACCACAAGTCTGACAGAAGTGAGCCTTCAGGGAAGACAGAGATGCCCTGGAGGTGTTGGCCTGTGACACTCCCACAGAAACATTCTGTTCAAAGGGGGCTTCTACATCCTCTGGTCCACAGCAGCCACCTGAACACAAATAAACGCTGGTGAAGTACATGTTGACTATAGGGATGCAATGTCATCACAAATGGGTATTTGTTACATCAGGAGTAAGTCTAGGGGATGGTTTTCAATGAGGGGAGTTAACACGTGATAGAGAAGTGGCTCCTGAGCATTAGCCACCTCTAAGACAAAAGAATGTAAAGTTCTTACTAAGGAAAGGACACAAGAATAAAGTGTAAGACAAAGAAGATAAGCATGTTCTAAAATTTGTTCATTGGGCCCTGTCTGGTGTTGCTCAGTGGACTGAGTGCTGGCCTGTGAACCAAATGGTTGCTAGCTCAGTTCCCAGTCGGGGCACATGCCTGGGTTGCAGGCTGGGTTCCTGGTGGGAGGTGCACGGGAGGCTACCATACATTGATGTTTCTCTCCCTCTCCTTCTCTCTCGCTTCCCCGCTCTAAAAATAAATAAAATCTTAAAAATAAAATAAAATTTGTTTCTTGGAGGAAGGATTCCTGTAGGAACTTTTTTGCTTGTGAAATGAGGCTGTGTAGAAGAACATGTCAAACCCAGCAGAAAAAAACCAATTGCAGTAGAGTAGTTGCCATTCAAGCCAATGTAAGGATGCATGCTAATCTCATGACATGTGTGGACCAACAGCACAGAGCAATAGAGGAAGAGATGAGAGAGATGTGTGAGATATGAAGTCCAAAGAGGAGGAGATTCTCCATGGCCTACAAGTCAGGGTAAATGTAACAAAGTTACAAAATTTAGCAAAGTGGCAATATTAAGGAAAGAAAATTAGAAGTGGAGTGTAGCCCTGACTGGTGTGGCTCAGTTGGGCGTCATTTTGCAAAGAGAAAAGGTCAGGGGTTCTATTCTCAGTCAGGGTATACACCTGGCATTGTGGGTCTGGTCTCCATTGTGGTGTGTGTAAGAGGTAACTAACCAATTTTTTTTCACACACTGCTGTTTCTCTCTGTTTCTTTCTCCCTCCCTTCCTCCCTCTCTAAAATTAAATAAATAAAATCTTTAAAAAATAAAAAAAATGTGGTTCAGCACTGAAAATGACAACAAAACATGAAACTTTTAGGTTTCTACTACTAACTACTACTTTCTAACTACTAACCAAATGAAAACAGTCCTGGTTTGATCAAAACAGTGTTGAGCCCTGGCTGGTGTGGCTCAATGAATGGATTGAGTACTGGCCTGTGACCCAAAGGATCACTGGTTTGATTCCCAGTCAGGGCACATGCCTGGGTTGCAGGCCAGGTCCCTAGTGGGGGGCACCTCGGAGGCAACCACACAGATGTTTCTCTCCCTCTTTTGCTCCCACCCTTCCCCTCTGTCTAAAAATAAATAAATAAAATCTTAAAAAAAAAACGAGTGTTGACATCACACCCTACCCAGCCTCAACATGACCAGATGCCTGTGAGTTCACCTTGCAGCCTCAGCTATTGAGAAATGCTACAATATACAATATTTGCCATCCTTGATCTCAGCTGTCAAGAGCCAAAACTGCCACACATGGGCAGTCCAATGACCTCACAACCAACCCAAAGTGAAGACTTTATACACCAAAAAAACCCTGTAATGGAAGGAAAGGGTGACTGATCCATCAAATGCGGAGACATCAAAAGTTCATAAGGAACACACAGAAAAAGCAAAGAATCATGGCAGCACCAAAGGAGCATAGCAAGTGTCCAGCAAGTGAAGGCAACAAAGTCTGGACAAAGGATTCAAAATAGCCCTGGCTGGGTAGCTCAGTTAGTTAGTGTGTAGTCCTGGTATGTCAAGGTTGTGGGTTTGATTCCTAGTCAGGGCACATACAAATAATAAACTAATAAATGCATGAAAAAATTGAGCAACAAATCATTGTTTATCAATCGAATCAATAATAAAAAAATTCAAAATAATTTTTTACAGAAGCTTAGACAGCTCTAAGAGAACACAGAGAAAACTCAGGGAAATCAGGAAAAGGCATAAATACATCAACTTCAGAGAAAAACTTCTTTAAAATTCAGTTTTTTCCCATTATTATTTATCCCCACTATACCCTCTTCCACCTCCACCCACCCACCCAAGAAAGAAACTTTAAAAAAAAATGAGTTAAATAGAAATTCTGGCCCTGGCTGGTGTGGCTCTGTGGATTGAGCACTGGCCCGTGAACAGAAGGTCACAGGTTTAATTCCCAGTCAGGACATATGCCTGTGCCTATCAGGGCAGCTCCCTGGATGGCAGCTGATTGTAACAGGAGTAACTACCAAAAAAATATTTTTTAAAAAAGGGAAAGAAAGCCCTGGCTGGCGTAGCTCAGTGGATTGAGCGCGGGCTGGGAACCAAAGTGTCCCAGGTTCGATTCCCAGCCAGGGTACATTCCTGGGTTGCAGGCCATAACCCCCAGCAACCGCACTATTGATGTCTCTCTCTCTCTCTCTCTCTCTCTCTCTCTCTCCCCCCCTCCTTTCCCTCCCTAAAAATAAATAAATAAAATCTTTAAATAAATAAATAAATAAATAAATAAAATAAAATGAAAAAGGGAAAGAAATGGTGGAGGGGTTAGTTGGGGGTGGAAGAGAGAATAAGGGTTAAATGGTAAAGGAAAAAATAAAATAAAATAAAAATTAAGAAAGCAATCACATTAATGAATATCAAAAACAATAAATACATACACATAAATATAACCTAGGAGGTGAAAGATCTAGACACTGAAACCTATAAGACATTAATGGAAAAAAAAATCCCTGAAGACACAAACAAATGGAAAGATATCTTATGTTCATGGATTGGAAAAATTAAGATTGTTAAAATGTCCATACTACCAAATACAATGTACAGATCCAATGCAATACCTATTAAAATTCCAATGGAATTTTTTGTGTAAATAGAAAGGGAGTCCTAAAATTCACATGGAACCACAAATGGCCTCAAATAGACAAAACAATCTTTTTTAAAAAGATTTTATTTATTTATTTTTAGAGAGAGAGGAAGGGAAGGAGAAAGAGAGGGAGAGAAGCATCAATGTGTGGTTGCCTCTTATGAGCACCACCTGGAACCTGGCCTACAACCCAGGCATGTGCTCTGGCTGGTAATCAACAGGTGACCCTTTGGTTCACAGGCTGGCACTCAATCCACTGAACCACACTACCCAGGCCATCAATCCTGAGTAAGATCAAAACTAAAAGTACCACACTTCCTAATTTCAAACTATATTATGAAGCTACACTAATCAAAAAAGTATGATACTGACATAAAAGCAGACATAAGAGAGATGGATTAGAATCAAGAACTCATTAAAGAATCCCATGTATAGCCCTGGCTGGTGTGGCTCAGTGGACTGAGTGCAGGCCTGTGAACTGAAAACTTGCTGGTAGATTCCAGGTTGGAACACATGCTTGGGCTGCCAGCCAGGTCCCCAGTTTGGGGTGTACAAGACTCAACTGATCACTGTATCTCTAGCACATTGATGTTTCTCTGCCTCTCTTTCTCCTCCCCTTCCCCTATTTCTAAAAATAAATTAACAAAATCTCAAAAAAAATCCTATGTATATATATATGGTCAACTGATCTTTAACAAAGGCAGCAAGAACACACAATGAGGACAAATAGTCTTTTTCAATAGTGCCGGGAAAATGGCATACCTACATGTGAAAATATAAAATTGGATCCCTATCTTTCACCACTAACAATGAACTCAAAATGGATTAGTTAAATATAAGACATGAAAATGTTAAGTGGCTATTAGGTAAGTTTTAATATAAAGTTGCACTTCCTCAAAAATAAGCAGGAGCCCTGGCTGGTGTGGCTCAGTGGATTGAGTGCCATCCTGCAAACTGAAGGGTTTGCAGTCAGATTCCCAGTCAGGGCACAGGCCTGGGTTGCAGGCCAGGTCCCCAGTTGGGGGCATGTGAGAGGCAGTTCATCAATGTACCTATCACATAGTGATGTTTCTCTTCCTCTCTTTCTCTCTCCTTTCCCCTCTCTCTAAAAGTAAATAAATAAAATCTGAAAAAAATAAGCAGGAAAATGTAAATCCAAACCACAATGAGATATTACCCCATACATACTAGGAGGGCTATTATTAGAAAGACAAGAGGTGTTAGCAAACATGTAGAGAGAAGGAAACACTTGTACAGTGTTGGTGGGAATGTAAATTCATAAAGGCATTATGAAAAACCATGGAAATATCTCAAAAAATGCAAAGTACAAATACCTTTTCAGCCAGCAATCCTACTTCTTTTTCAAAAGATATTATTTCTTTAAAAATTAAAATGTAATTTAAAATGTAAAACATGGTGATTAGAGTTAATAATACTCTATTGTACACTTAAAAGTTAGTAGAAAAGTATGTCTTAAGTGCTATTACCCCCACCCCAAAATGATTATATCGGGTGAGGGAAATGTTCACTGACTTGATTATGGCAATTATTTCACAATATTTACACATATCCATCATCACATCATACACTTTGAATACACACCATTTTACAGATCAGCAATGCTGAAACAAAACAGACAAAAGATCTAAACAAAACTCTACAAACTATGCAAAAGAGTCTTAAAAACAGCCCATGGTAAATAGTAATGGTGACAATGCTCCCAATTTCTAGCATAGGGAGGCTCTAGGAAATGTCAGCTAAAGGAAGGGACCAAAACAATTACTATGGCTGTGGACACAGTGACTGGCCCAAGGGGTGGGCAAGCATAGTGGAATGCATAGGGTCACCGTAATCCGTCCAAATGAGAAGAGGGTATTGCAGCAGGTATTGAGACTGCAGCCCAGAGAAAATGGCAGTGCAACACCCAGCCCCAGAAACACAGCAGCCTGGAGAAGGAAGCGGGCCCTGTGGTCTACATGTGAGAAGGACAGAGCACCCTCTGGGGTGAGGAGAGTAAGGCAGAACAGAGACCAGTCCACATTACTGATGAAACTGTACAAGTCTTACCCAGTGAGGATATAAGTGCAAAGTTCTCCAGCATCACATCAAAGTACAGACGTCTCTGAGCCTCATCAAGGAGCCTCCATTCCTCCCAGGAGAAGTGCACGGCAACATCAGCAAAGGTCACTCTGGCCTGTCAAGATGCGGACAGAGGAAACCACAAACTGTCTTTCTGAGAACCTCACAGTCCATCACCTCACACATCTTCTCCCAGCTCATCCTCCTCCAGGGTTCCCGCAGCAGAAGAGATGCCAGGCCCTGGAGACTGGGATGCCTGTTCACTTCTCAGGGAACCTAATGACTGTGTGCAGCCCTCAGTAACAGGGGACACGTGGACCTCATCCAAGCTGTGGGCCATACCTGCAGGGCCCCCACCCTCCTGCAGAGCAATTCCCCCCAGGGGTATCCCAGACTGTACCTGCTGGACTCAGCAAAAATGGGCTCCTGCTTCACCTGGTTCCACCCCAAGGCCTTGGGGCCATCAGCTCACATGACCTACACGCCCGCACAAAACTGTGTACTCGCTACCTTCTAACACCTTCGGTTCCCACAGTTCCACCTCCACAGATCTGTGACTGCCCTGCCCTGTTTCACAGGCAACTCTCTCCACTCACCCGGTGGGCGACCCACGGCACCCAGAGTGCTCGAGAGACTCAAACACCATACAGCACAGCGCCATCCTGTGACGGGTCCCACAGCTGGGGAAAGCCCAGTGAGGAGCTGCAGTCCTCCCTGCCGGCCTCTGACCTTCACTTCATTATTAGCACCCAGAAGAGCATGTAAATTTCAGACACGAATAAGCCCGGTCCCCTCTGCACTGTACTTGCTGCCCCCTCAGTAGCCACAACCCTCCTGCCTCCACTCAGCCTTCATCGCAATCCCGGACTCCCGGGCCGGGGTGCAAGATGTGACAGGAGCCCCGCACCCGGGCTGCAGAGCTCAGTGGGGTGAGAGTGGGGAGGACCCGGGGGACCCGCACTCACCTCTGCCGGGCGCCGCAGCGCGGACGCTGCCATCGGACTAGAGATCAGACCGGCGCGAGCGGGGCGTGCAGGGCGCGTGCAGACGGCGAGGAGGGAGCGGTGGCAGAGGCGGGAGAGGTGAGGGGTCCCTGGATAAAGTGGTCCTGGTATCGGCCGTGGCACGGGTCATCCGGGCGGCATAGCACAGCCTCACGGCCGTGTCTGTGCGGTGAAAGCAACGACGCCTTTGCGCCTACTAGTTTGGTCAGGTCAGTCCCCACCGATGCAGGGGAGCTGAAAAAATGCCCGCCACGAGGAAGACGCCTCAAGTCACGCCCCAAGTGGATGAGATTTCAAGGAAAAACTTTCATCCTGGTGTGCCATTGGCTCAACTCCGCCCCAGGTTTTCTGGGTAAGGTAGTTCCCAGGTCTCCAGAGGCCGCAAGAAAGGAGTTTTCCATCCTGGTCTACTAGAAGGTTTGCTATGCAAGGAATTTAGCAAAAGGGACGTTCCCACTCCCTGGGGCAAAATGAATGTCTGCAGCAACAGACATCATTTGTTTTGCCGTGAAGCTCAGCCTGCCCCCAGAAGATAAAAATATTTTACATGCTCTCAAATCTCCTGATGCAAAAGGGAATATCCTTCTACAGAGTCATTCATACATAAAGTAGTACAGGCATAGTTGGACACGTAACCATTGCTCTGAAAGTGTCTGTAATCTGAGGTGAATATTTGTTATTTTGTTGTGTTATGATTGGCCAAGAACAAGAGAAATGACTCCATACAGAGCCATGGCTCTGAAGACAGAAGATGGATAGTCTGAATTAGGTGAACAAGATTAAGTTTGTACAAGGGAGAAAAGAAAAGGTTCTATGGAAAGAGATATTCCAGGTTGATTGGGTCATAAATTCCTACCTGAGCAGGGCACGTGGATAGTCTCACCCTAGGACTAAAACTGTTTTAGTGAAAGGTTTTAGGGCAGCCCTGTCCATTGTTCTTGTGCATCTAGGTTTAACACACCTTTGAAATACCAGCAATAATAGCCCTTGAAGGAAGCATTAACCTTCAAGAGAGCACATAATGTTGTTAAGTATCCAGTAATCCAGTCCTCACTTTGCTTTCCTAAAATGTCATGTAATTTTGTTTATATTTCCTCTGTAATTTCAATGGCATAGAAATTTGCAAAACTGTTATTCTCAGGAGCAGTTGAGATCTTGCTCCTAGGCATACATCATAATTTTGGCTCAAATATTTCTTATCAAAATTCTCTACAGCTTTGGACTTTTCTTATGTTGACAAGCTCTACCTCTGGTTCCCAAAGAAAACTTCTCTCTTGCTTGTAGAGTCCTGCCCATTGAGGAACACTTTTATCCACATAATATTTCTTACTCCATAATATAAGATATACAGTTGTTCCTCAGTTTCCATCAGGGCCCTGCAGACACCAAAATCTATAGATGATCAAGTCCCTTATATAAAATGGCATAGTCTTTGCATATAGTGTACATATATCCTCCTTTTGAATTTAAATAATCTCTAGATTAATTGTAATACACAATGCAATATAAATGTTATGTAAATAGTAGTTAAATAGTATTTTTAGGGAATAACAGCAGGAAAAATATCTGTTCATGTTCAGTACACACACAAACATGCAACCATCATAGCTCTAACTACATAGAACATCAAGAAGAGAATAACATTTATTTTAGAATATTTTCCATCCAAGAATAGTTGAATCCAAGGATGCAAAACCCATGAATAATGAGGGCTGACTGCATTCAATCTTTTCTTAAATATTTTATTTATTTATTTTTAGAGAGAGGGGAAGTGAGGGAGAAAGAAAGGGAGAGAGGCATTGATGTGGGATAGATCAGTTGCCTCTCGCACGCCCCCAACTGGGAACCTGGGCCACAACCCAGGAGTATGCCCTGACTTGAAATCAAACTGGTAACCTTTCACTGGCTAGCACCCAGTCCACTGAGCCACACCAGCCAGGGATCAACCTTTTTAAAGCTTTTATTTCCTTTTTAGAGAAAAGGGAAGGGAGGGAGAAAGACAGGGAGAGAAACATCAATCAGTTGCTTCTCACATTCCCCCAACTAGGGACCTGGACTGCAACCCAGACATGTGTCCTGACAGGGGATCTAACCAGTGACATTTTGATTCACAGGCCAACACTCAACCCACTGAGGCACACCAGCCAGGGCTGTACTCAATTTTTTTTTTCATGAACAGATATCTTCTTTAAATGGAGAACAAGTTAACTAATGCTATTTTGGTATGGGTCAGCTGATGCAAGTTTCACAGTCACAGCAAATGTGCAAATGGAGTATCTGAACACTGAGATTAAGAGGGCATTTTAAGCCCATGATCTCATATCCTTGCTTGTGCTTATCATTTTCCATAAATTGCAGGTGCAGTTCTTCATGGGGAATTGGGTAAAACCCAAAAAGCAAAGCAGTTTTGAAACACAAAGTTTCAGAAACTTAGTAACATGTTTATGTAGTTATTCAAAGATAGTGGCACAAATAATTCTGAGGAAATATCAGAGGTTGTTGAAGAAAGTTAATACCTCAGAGATGTTTTTTGTTATTTTTTTCCTTGAAAACATTAAGTAATACCAGCACAGACACAAAATATAAAAGAAAAAGTATGTGGCTATACAGTAAATTACAATGTGATATAAAGAAGTCCAAAGAGGACTTCTGGCCAAGATGGACAAGTAGGTAGACACTCTGTGACTCCTCACACAACCAAAATAAGGACAACATCAATTTAAAAACAAAAAACAACCAGTACCAACAGAAAACTGAACTGTATGGAAGTCTGACAACCAAGGAGTTAAACTAGACATATTCATCCAGACTGGTAGGAGCGGCAGAGTCAGGGGGCCTGGCGGAGAGGGGTCTCAGCAAAGCGGTGGCTGGCGGACCCATCCAGGCAGCAGATTGTGGAGGGGCGTGGTACACAAGGCGGCTGGCAGACCAGGCGGTCCCACATTTGCACACAGATAAACCAGGCGAAACTGGGGAGTGAGACAGACCACACAACCCAGGGTCCCAGTGTGGGGAAATAGAGCCTGAAAACACTGATTGAAAACACCTGTTGGTGGTGGGGTGTCAGGAGAGACTCCCAGCCTCACAGGAGAGTTCGTTAGAGAGACCCACAGGGTCATAGAATGTATACAGACACACCCACCCGGGAATCAGCATGCACCAGAAGGGCCCAATTTGCTTGTGGGAAGCAGGGGAAGTGACTGAAATCTGGCAGAGAGAGTAGCAAGCACGGTTGTTTCCTCTCAAACCCCTGCCCCACATACAGTGTCACAACACAGTGAGTGGGTTACCCCGCCGCGGTGAACACCTAAGGCTCCACCCCTCACTACATACAGGTCAGCTGAAACAAACAAACAAAAAAGATACGAATGAAAGAACAGGTCAAAGCTCCAGAAAAAATACAACTAAGCGACGAAGAGATAGCCAACCTATCAGATGCACAGTTCGAAACACTGGTGATCAGGGTGCTCACAGAATTGGTTGAATTTGCTCGCAAATTAGATGAAAAAATGAAGGCTACGCTAAGTGAAATAAAGGAAAATGTACAGGGAACCTATAGTGATGGGAAGGAAACTGGAACTCAAATCAATGGAGTGGACCAGGAGGAAGAAAGAAACATCCAATCAGAAAAGAATGAAGAATCAAAAATTCAAAAAAAAAAAAAATGAGCAGAGGCTTAGGAACCTCCAGGACATCTTAAAACATTTCAACATCTGAATTATAGGGATACCAGAAAGAGAAGAGGAAGAGCAACAAGTGGAAAACTTATCTAAACAAATAATAAAGGAGAACTTCCCCAAACTGGCAAAGGAAATAGACTTCCAGGAAGTCCAGGAAGCTCACAGAATCTCAAAGAAGTTGGACCCAAGAAGGAACACACCAAGGCACATCATAATTACATTAGCCAAGATGAAAGACAAGGAGAGAATCTTTTTTTTAAGATTTTAATTAATTTATTTATTTTTAGAGAGGGAAGAGAAGGAGAGAGAGAGAGAGAGAGAGAAACATCAATGTGCAGTTGCTGTGGGCCGTGGCCTGCAACCCAGGCATGTGCCCTGACTGGGAATCGAACCTACGATGCTTTGGTTCGCAGCCCGCGCTCCATCCACTGAGCTACGCCAGCCAGGGCAGGAGAGAATCTTGAAAGCAGCAAGAAAAAAGGAAACAGTTACCTACAAAGGAGTGCCCATAAGACTTTTCAAGAGACCTTACAGGCAAGGAGGGGCTGGAAAGAAGTATTCCAAGTCATGAAAGGCAAGGACCTACATCCAAGATTTCTCTATCCAGCAAAGCTTTCATTTAGAATGGAATGGAAGATAAAGTGCTTCTCAGATAGGTTATGTTAAAAGAGTTAACCATCACCAAGCCCTTATTATATGAAATATTAAAGGGACTTATGTAAGAAAAAGAAGATAAAAAACATGTGCAGTAAAATGACAGCAAGCTCACATTTATTAACAACCACACCTAAAACAAAAACAAAAACAAACTAAGCAAACAACTAGAACAGGAACAGAACCACAGAAATGGAGATCACATGGAGGGTTGGCAACAGGGCAATCAGAGGAGGAGAGAGGGGTTAAGGGTACAGAGAATAAGTAGCATAGATGGTAGGTAGAAAATAGACAGGGGGAAGGTAAGAGTAATATGAGAAATGTAGAAGCTAAAGAACTTATGACACATGGACATGAACTAAAGGGGGGAATGTGGGTGGGAGCGGGGGTGCAGGGTAGAGGGGAGTGAAGGGGGAAAATGGGACAACTGTAATAACATAATAAAATATATTTTAAAAAAGAAGTCTAAAGACTCATCTAAATATGATCTAAGTCAGATATGAGTGAGACTCAAGGTCCTATTTATTCTGAGACAAACTTCCTTTCCTGCTATGAACCTGTGAAAGTAGAAGTTATGTGCTTCCAAAAGACAATGGTGAAACAGGAGTAGGATACACATTTCCATTTCAAACAGAGGAAATGAGAAATAAAGATGCTATATCCAAAGCAAGTTCAAACTTTGACCAAGTGCAAACTTCATGAGATCATATGACTCACGAATAATCTTAAGCTTGAAGCTATGCCTTTCAGATCCTCTGGGACAGTGGTCCTGCCCGTCTCTGCAGTAGCAGTGGACAAGAGTCCTGCTCCCAGGGATTGGCCTCGTGTGAATCCCACACTCAGGGTTCTGTATAGATGCTCTGGGTGGTTCCATTCACA